GAATGAAATAACTTTGTATCCATCCGGATTTAAGAGACTTTGAAAATCTGAATCTTTGTTGTGAGCAACCCGAAGGCTTTTCAAGAAGTGCTCTTGAACTGTATTTGTTCGTACCGCTGCGTCTTTAAAGCAAAAACTAGTGCAGCGAGTCTCAGAAGTGAAAAACAATGATAATACGTAAAACAAACCGGGGATAATTTGGCACGCAACACATCTCATGGAAATCAACCATGTTATGACTCATGAACCCTTCGTGGTGAAGCCAAAACATCCAGAGAGAACTGGGCCCTTAAAACGATGACCTCGGCCGCAGCCGGCCATCAGGGGGCGACCAAGATGTTTCAGCTTCACCTTCGACACGCCGTCACCACCTCCATCTTCAGCTTGGGCCGCGGCCCGAGCCCGGAGGCAGACGCAGACACACTCACGTTGTTGAGCTTCAGTTTGCTCTTGTCTTGTTTCTGCAGGTGTCCCGACAGGTGGTACAGGACGGCTCTGCTGCGGCGCCGGTTGGCGTTGAAGCCCGGGGGCCGAGTTACCTGATGCACCTTCAGACCCGTCTCTTCATCTGCGGAGGAGACAGGAACACGCGTTAGGTGTGCCGCCATCCGGGCCCCCGCGGCGCCGGGGTGAGGACGCAGACCCCGAGATCTGTGGCGACCGAAACGCTCTTTAACAGCCAACTCGGTCAGAGGAAACAACACCTGTTCCTTCTGCCCCCCCCCCCGAGGGGTTATTCTTTACCGGGACGGCGTCTCACACGGGTCAGATCAGCCCTCACGTGACGGATCTAGACTCCTCTGTGCCGGCTCTACACTCCTGTGTACACATGCTGATGTTTGTATAAATATGTGATGGGATATTGACCAAATTATTTAGGTCAAATGTACTGCTGGTCTGAGATCGCGGTGTGTGTTTACGGATCAGAATCGACAATAATCCGCAGATTAAGGGAGTTGTTTTCCGCCAAACTATCGTCGAGGCGGAAAATCATGGCACGCCGTCTCCATTTCCACTTTGCATTTCCTATTATGATTGTCTCTCTGTCCGTGCACAGCATGACACCGTGCTCGGCAACCCCTGTAACCGAATCATTTTCATATTCAGCCAGTAAATTTGATTTGTTCATCGTATCTCGGGTGGATTTCAAACAGCTCGGCTGTTGCAGAACAAAGAGAGAAACCGTCCATTGTTCCCGGGAGCATTCGTGTCCCTCTGAATGTGCTTTAAAGTTGTTGGTTATTCACAAAAACATGTGGCAAAAACAGGCGGCGTCTTTTCTTTTCCGATACGCATGGGTTTTAACAGATGGAGCCTCAGTGATCCTCTTCAAACAGGACAGAACTGTGCACAAAGCGGTGGGAAAGACGACAACGTGTCTGCTGAATAACTCTGAAGAACCGATAAGAGAGCTTCCAGGGCGTTGGCTACTTCCTGGAAAACTGTCAATGATGATGAAATACGACACGTCCTCAAAATCAAGCTGATCTCAAGCTCATCTGCGTGTTAAACGCACGACGGCCGTGTGGTTAACACTGAAACAATTCAAACACTCCTTTTCCACCATGCTTCACAAAATACACATTTCCTCATTCTCTAGCCTTTTATCGCCTTTTCATTTTCCTTCATTTGGTTCCCGCATCAAGCGGCGTTCGATTTAGCAGAAAACCCTCAAGTAGAGACACAGGTTATTTTCCCATCTCAGTGATGCATCTGAAATGGCATTGAAACGCTCCTGTGTCTCTCTCTCTGCCTGTGTGTTGCTGTTTGTCCCCTGTGGCGTGTAATGCACTGGTAGCTTATCTTCAAAAGGGTCATGTGGTCTGTAGAACCCTGCCGGAGAACACGAAAGCAGCCTACAGTCATTTTCGGCCTGTGCATGTGGGGTAGAATTGGTTAAGTTGTTTCGAGGAGCCGCTCTTTGCCACCAGGAAGAGCTTCAGACGGCAGCATTTTAAGCACCACTTCCCCTGAAGGGTTTTGATTACGCCGCTTCTCTCACCGTCTCTCGGCATTAAACTTCCTCTCCGCAGGGAACTCAGCTGCCAAAAGGATTTGGGAGTTTAGAAGTGGGATTTTTTTTTTCATTTCCGTGATGGCTGCGTTTTCACCGAAGTGCAAAAATGTCGAAGCACCTAAACATCTCTGTGCAAGAGAGGATCAATAATGTGCGCCCCAAGAACTACAAGCAGGTTTCATCCGTATCTCATGGTCGTCACATATGGGGGTCGCCTTTGTCGTCAGGTGAGCTGACAGCTGCCAGATGCTGAAAGCGGGGGGTCACGGGCGTCATCTCACCTGTGTCAGGTCCTTGCTCAGAATCCTGGTCCTTCTTCTTGTCGGTGATGTCTTTGTGGGACACGAGGAACAGAACCACTTCACCCTTTTCATTTTTAATCGGTACAATGTCCAGAAGACACCAGAACTGTGCTCCTGGAGAACAGAGAGGGAGAGAAGAGAAACGGCAAAACATTCACAGTCAATGTGTCTTTCCTTCGGGACGGAGACGCAACGGTGAGCATCGCCTTGTTGAGAATGAGCTTGTATGGGAGAGATATATACGTGAGCAAGTGACAGTTTTAAAGGAATAATGTTTGAACCCCTGTAAATGCACAGGAATACGCTGATGTCTTTGTTCGTCATGTTTTTGCTTTGGTTCCCAACGGGCCACCATTTGATTTCAGCGCTCAACCGCCTGCTGCGTAACGAGAGTTAATGACCTTGAACCCTTGAATTCGCTGCCTGTTGAGGGAAACGTGAGGACGTGTTGCTGCTTGGCATCCCTCTCAAAGAACCGCCGTCGGGACGTCCTTCGTGAGGAGGACGTCGAATCGCCTCCAGCAGTCCGCATCCCACACGTGACGCTCATCACGTTGCGCCTGCAGCTACCCCCCCAGATTGCCGGATGTATAGATTCCCTTTTGCTCCGTGCTTCTGCTGTAAAGCAGAATGCAGCCGACCACCCGTACGTCCTGGATGCGAGTCCCCTGACTGCCTCTCAGCGGGAGCTTTTGGCCTCCAGTCACATTTTCCACCAGCGCCGGACGCGCTACATTCACGTGGTCTGGCTTTGTGATGAGGTTACTAAGAGGACTCCAGCCGATATGCAGAGGCGGTGAAAAGTAACGGTAGAAGTGATGGTGGTGGTCAAAGGTTTGTTTACAGGTGGAACGTACGTGGCAATAAATGGCTTCTGATTCTTTAAAGACCAGGAGTTCTGATGGAATCACTCGGCGGCTTGTTGCTGTCACACCGTCACGGCAACAAGATACTCGTGATGGCTGCGTCTGGCCGCTGCATGAATGCATGGGATCGGGCTAAAGCCAGCTGCGCGGGTTTTCCATTACGCCCGTGTGATCTCTGACTCGTGTGCTCGTGGGCTGCATGTGGCGCGCTGCCCCCCGCGGCCTGCGGGACCCGCATGATCCCCCGGAGGATCATGCGGGTAAATAATGCATCGCCTTAATAAAAACATCAGCCGCGTCGAGGCGGGATTGTCCCCGTTTGACTTCAACGTCACCGTAAACAACAGCGGTTCTCCAACAAGATGTGCTGACAGCTGAGGAGTGAAAGGCTGTCTTTGATTTAAAGTGAGTATTCATCATGTGATTATTAGAGCACAGCATTATTTCTCTGCAAAGGTTATAAGTCATTTTTATTTTTAGCCCCAGTCTTTCCTTCCTGCCTTGATTCATTGGCCTGTACATTGCGTTGATATAAATATGTTATGAGTATTTGCTCCGTGGATGAAATGCAATTTTAAAGTTGTGCCCCAGGCTTTAACTGGGAACTGGATGTATGTGTTTTTTCTTTTCCTTTGCTCCCCCGGGGAACAGCTTAAATGCTAATGGCAGCGCATAGAAAGATGCCAAAGAGCATGAAACACTTCTAATTTGTCATTTGTGTGTTTGTGTGTGTGCTTTTACAACCACGTATCTCAAAGGAGCAGATGTGTCCATGCCTCCCTCCCTTGTTTTAATTATTGATTGAAAAATAGTGGATTAACGAACTTTCTGCTGGTGTTTTCTGTCTTGCTGTCTCTTGCTGCTATTATTTGGTGGCGAGGAACCATTTCAAGAGCTCTTTTGACATTAAACACGTGGATGGTTCACTGATTCACACATTCACACGTTGGCCGTGTCCTAATGCGCCGGCGGCATCCTTCAGTCGACTTTTACACATAGAATAGCATTTAATGTGGATGACTTTTTTGGAAAAGCGTAACTTTTTCCCTCTTAAAATGAAGTGTCCATGACACCTTTGTCTACAATCCATTAACACATGATGCCTTAACTGCTTATATTAATGTATATCTGTAGCTTTAATTTGACACATACATGTGTTAAATAACAAAACGCATTATTATTGCTCACATTTGTCTAAAGGATAAAACTGCTTGATTATAGTGACAATACATTATAATGTGTGCAATAACACTTTACAATAAATCAACCCTGGCTAAATAATGACAATAACAACCCTGTACTGCTGTGATGTTGCTGCTCTTCCTCTTCCTCTTCTCCGTTTACAAATTATTATTATTGTCTCTTTTGGAAGGTTATTATTTTGTTTCAGTTTTAGTTTATTTAATTTAATTTAATAATTTAATATTTCTATCTTATTATATTGCATATAATGTGTATCTTTTTATTCTATTTTCTTCCCTGTACATGCTGCTGTGATACCAAAATGTCCCTATTGAGGGATCAATAAAGTATCTATCTATCTTAAGTCTAAAGGCTTAAGGGTGTAAAAGGAATAGTAGAATAGTAGAATGTGTGTGTTCCATTAATAGCCAAGTATCATATTTAACCGGAGCAGGAGTACCAGGTAAATAAGTACTAAGTAATAAGTACACCGATGGACACCGATGGACACCGACGCAGGGCCCTCCGTCTCACCTTCCTTCTTGTAGAACACCAGCTCGGTCTTGAACTCCGTCCTCTCGTCCAGGGCCCCTTGGATCTGCGCCGTCAGGCGGTCGCTGGTCTCCGTGCCGTACAGGAAGTGGCAGGCGCAGCTCTTCTGCATGAGCTCGGCGCGGGCGTAGCCGGTGAGCTCACAGAAGCCGTCGGAGCAGTAGACGATGGGGTACAGCGACTGCACCTGGGCGTTCCCCAGGACGAAGTTGCTGTCTGGGGGGAGACAAGAGAAGGGCTGTGTGATTGATACGGCCGTTGCTCGGAACCCTTTTCTTGCCGGGGCTTTTGTGGCCCCTGTCACGCGTCGACGTCTGGCGGGAAAACGGCAAAGACTTCAAAGAGGTTTTTCCGTTTGTAATCAGACGAGAATTGAATAAAATCTGCATCTTTAAACACTCAAAAGTAGGACTCGCACACACCACGTTGGTTCTCAGAGAGAGAGGAGGACGACTGCTGGAAGCACAGGAGGCCTCGGCGGACCGGCCCCGTTGATCAGGTGATCAAGACTCATCACAAAAACCTCATGACGTTTCTTTATTTAGTGCATCCGTCCTCATAAAAAGAGTTTGGGGTCGGGCCGTTTACGCCTGTGTGTGTGTGTGTGTGTGTCCCGTCGATGGCTGAACTCTCTAGAATGAACTGTGTGTCACTTTGTGCTCAGGCGTTGTCATCAACACATCAATTCTGAGGGCCTCGGAGTCCCGCTTATTGAATATTTCACATTGTTGTGGGGGGGGGGATGCGGAGATGGCAACGCCGGAAAAAAACAGCAAATAAGTCCACCTTCCATTAGGACCCCCCCCGCCGAGCGCCACTTCCCGTCTCCGTCCCTCCCGCTGCGAGCGACCCTGATGCATCTGCTACACTGAGCTTGGATCTGCATCCAGGCAGGAGACAGGAGGCCCTGAGTGGGACCAGGAGGGGGGGGGGGGATTAGTAACGCAGGCGATACGCTGCTCACCTCAGATTAATTTCATCATCCATATTTTGTCGGCAGTAAATGTGAAAGTATTTGTTATACTTTCATGAGAATTTATTTATTTATTCCCACTTTTGACACCATCATCTGTTCCTCTGTGCGCGTGAGGACCCTCGCGGGCCTTCGCAGTGACTTCACACCTTCTCAAAAACACCTTCTCAAAAACACCTTTTCGTTGCCATTTACTTGGACAGCTATTTTGCTGCTGCCGTGATAAGAGTTTAGTGGTATTTGGCTAAAAGCTAACAAAACCAACGCTACACACACTGCAACTCGCTGTTTTGGGACGGAAATCAAATGCATTTCGTCACCAGGATAATTATTGAGGACAAGAAGATTACAACGACAATTAAACACAGTTTTCTAAAATGAATCAGTCACTTTTCAGTCTTCAGTCTGATGACTGCCCCGGTCCACGTCTCCGTCTCGCTGTCTGTCACTCAACGCGTCTCTTTCTCCCTCCGTCATTCTGGAAAATAGAAGTTCCACTCCATCTTCTGTGATTGCTCTTGTCAGCTCGCGCTCGGCTCAGCTCGCCCGCCTTCCTCTTCTTCCTGCTTTAATTCAAAACTCAGCAGCGCCGGTTTTAATGAATGTCTCGCCGACTGTCTTCTGTAGTTATGTCACCTCTCTGGAAGGGTCGAATCAGACTGTTTAATTACGAATGCTGCAGGAGCACAATGACAAGCACGACCCCTTTCTTTCACACACTAACAAACAACTATGTATCATGATTATTCATTTCTTTATGGCAAAATATTTTAATTATTCCTCGCTAAAAGGAAAAGAAGAATGTTGTCTCGTATTGGGCTGCGTAATGTGCTTGTTTTTGCGTGAAAAATAAGACCTGCAGCTGTCATTCACCTCAGTACAGAGCCCTTATTGCACAGTGCAACACTCTTTTGCACTGGACTCTTCTCTCAGGTTGCTGCTGGGTGCGTTTGTATCAGCGTGCAAGCTCCCCAAGAAGGTGAAGGCGAAACATCCCGATGAGGAAGCGCTTGATTTGACACGCTGCAGACTTTGAGAATAGAGCACGCAATTCGAACCATTTTGTGTCGCAATCAGGTTCATATCACTGTGGGAAGCCACAATTGTGGTGACAATTAATATTCAATTGATTGGGCGGCCCGGCCGGATGTATGTGTGTTTATACTCATTGTACTTCTGTATGAATAACAGATTGATTAACTTACTGAATCACACTAATGTAACCGACCGTCTTATTAGCTGGAATGTGTCCAACACTTCTCCAACTTAATAGAAAATATCTTTGATTATAGACTGTTATTCTGAGCAGCAGCATAGCTCCTCACTGTGCACAGACTCTAGTTAAAAGCATAGCAAACACCTGATCTCTGGCAGCCACAGGCTGTTTTTTTAATTGGCCAGCGGCTTCCTAATTGTTGGTCTGTTTGTTGATTTTCATTTCTTTGCTTCATGGCCTTCGACTGTGACGGGTTTGAACTGGAGCGGCTCGTGAGGAGGATTAGAGTGAGTGGTCGAGCAATCGGAAATACACAAAAGTTGAGCACATTCGCAGAAATTGATTTGGTCGCCTTAGCAACGGGAGTCTGAGGCCGGGCTAATGTCAATGTCAGAACCAACCTGAACGGGCTTCAGGCCACATGGCACTAAGGACCACTGAATGTGGTCAGTAAGTAGTCACAACATTCAATTCAAGTTGACTATGTTGCCTTTTATCTGCATGGGAGGTTTTATTATTATAAAAAAGCATCTTTATAAAGAAAGGACTTCATTAAATAATATGATACTAGGGATTAAAGGACGTGCCGTAGAATGAATCACGGATTCGACAGCTCATTAATACGTCTTCATTTGTGCAGTATGATGAACAAAGCTGTGTATGTGCTCGTGCAACTTGTAATATAACAGTACCTTTTGAAATGCCGCCTCGGGCATCGCCTAACCCAGACAAACGACCAAGCTGCAGCCCTGATCGGACACCGTTGGGTGCTTCTGAGTGTCCAATCCCATCACGTCGTCCCCCGGAGGGATCCACGTCTTTCTTTTGCCAATATGGGACCGACCGCCTGGAGAAAATCATAATCGTGTTGCGACATGTCCCCAACGATGCCGACTGTTCGTCCCGCCGCGTGGCTTCATGCACCACGACGATGTTCACAACATCAGTTTGTGCTGTTCTTGGTCTTTTGTACACTGTGTCTTTGTCAACAAATTGTCAAACGATTTCACGTGTGTCTAATTTGAACCCCCTTTTTTTTTTAGTGATGTCACTAATAAAATCACAGAGTTAAAAAAATGTGTTTTAATCACTGGGGGCAGAAAATACACTTTAATTAGCTCATAAATGAATGTTCAGTCAAGAGGAAAATGTGATGTGCTCAATGCACATATATTTCACATATATTATCTGTTTATAAATGCCCAGTGGGGAAACTTATTTGCCACCAAAAGAAACCGATAAAGACGACAATAGACAGTCTACACCTCAGCTGCTGGTGAAGATTATCTTTGCTTGGACATTTGAAGAGTTTTCTTTAAATGAAGTTCTCATTCAGTCTCAATACGTAAGAATTTCAGTATGGAAAAATATTGTGTTTTTTTTTCAACATTAGGGCATGTTAATTATAATGCAAAGCCAAAAACCTCAAACCTTTGGGGAAATACTTATATAAATACTGACTACTAATAAACTCGAAAAGGTAAAAATGACTAAATGGAGGGATGAAATTATCTCTGCAGAAGCAAAAACAAAACGGTTCAGATTGAAAAGTTGATCGAGACGATATTGAAATTTCCGGCTGACGTGGGATCTCAGCAGCCTCCAGCCACCATTAACTTTTCACAGGTTCAGTCCATCATCAAAAATATAAAGTTCCTCTGGTTGTCAAATTAGGAAGAAAAAGATGCTTTTTAAAAAAAAAAGAGTCCAATAATGAAATAGGAAAAGGTCTGGGTCATTTAGCAACGAGTTGTGTTAATAATTGATCACGTCCTTATTTATTTCCGGGGGGTATTTGCTGTGAGATGGATGGTGTGTGTGTCTGAAGCAGATGCCTGAGGGGACAGCAGCCGTACGGCCTTGATGAATAATCAAACACGCATGTTGGCTTCTGCTGCTGGCGTTCGCCGCTGGGCCCGTTATTGGATTACCAGGGATTCGCCTTATCGGATAATTTTTTCCACGGCCCTCACTGGCGATCGCATTACGCAGCGCGTGGTGGGGGCTTGAGGCGGGACAAAAGACACAGTCAACCGCCTCACAGGCTGAGATGTGCACGTGTGACGCTGTCATTGCGCTCCATCCAGCTAATGTCCACCCAATAAAAATGGATCCCTTTCCAATCGTCTTACGCTGCGACCGGTGTTCGATCATTTTCTGCCACTTGTCGAGAACTGCTACTTCGTGGTATTGCGCATGCGGCGAGTCGATTTTTCAAGTTTCCTTGACACGCCCATAATATTTTCCAACCCTGTCGGTGAACGACGTGTTGACGGCGAGTAACATCCTCAAAATCCAGATTATTTCCTCTTTTGGTTAAAAAGTACATTGAGCATGTGGATTGTACAATGACCGCCCTCTTGAAATTAAATATTAAATAATTGCATGGACTGCGTATCCTCGCCTCCGTCTACTGTGTCGTATTATCCGTAGTCCGTTTTCCATTTGCAGAAACACGGTGAGAAACGTCCACCAAAACCCCCCCTTTCCTCGCGCTTTTGGCTTATTTAAGATAAATAGCATATAGCTTAGATTGCACACTGCGTTTAGCTCTTGAAGTTGAATTTCGAAATGTAGCTTACTGTGTTTTGATAGCATGAATCGATAGACAGAGCCATCGATTTATGCGGCGGCAGCATTTCTCGACACCGGCTCGCCGTGCAGCAGCTGTCTAAAACACTGCGTTGCTCTCCGCTGCGAGGCTGCACGCGTCACCGCCGAAATACCAGGCGGCAGCTTCATTTTAATGATGTGACGGCGCGTGTCGGGGAGCGGCAGAGGTCACCGACCTTTCTGACACCTCTCCGACCGGCCGACCAAAGAAGGAAGAGCGCCAGACGCACAGTCGGTGTGATGATGTCAGCGGGCTCTGGGGTTCTGGCAAACCTTTCATTTTGAAGCAGGTGTTTACGGGAAAATACCAAACGCCTCTGTGTCTCTATCTATAAACTCTTCTCTTTGGTTATTCCAAATAACACGCGTGTGGAGCAGCAGAATGTCACTCTGCTGAGTGCTTTTTAAGCGTGT